TAAAACACAAAAAAACATGAAGGTTAGAACGGGAGGGAAGCAAAGCAGAATTCCCAGCCTTGCCTTCGTGGTATTTATTTAAACGTGGTGTTTTTTTTCTATCCTGTCCTATCCTTGTCCACTGGTTCCCCTAAATATTACGTAACGGTAAGTATCTATCTATTTTTTTTTAGAGGGGAAAATCATCGAATTACTGCTCCCGCCTGGGTGAGGCGGGAGGGAGTGTCAGACTCTTACTGACTAAAAACCACCCCGTTCCTTCTCCTACACGTCGAGCCGGAGCCCCGGTAACCCGTTAGGTTCTCCGCGACACGGTACCTACCTATAGTACCTATTCAGACATACTTAGCGTGTTACCTACTTTTCAATGATAATAGCCCTTAAATACTGGCACTTTAAAATGTGTAGATACCTAGGTACTTATCTTTCGAATATCTTTAACATAATTAAAATCCGCATTAATCTGTGGTTAAAAAGGGACTGATAAATAAAATAAATTATCTAATTTACTTGTCAATTTAGGTATATTTTATTCTGATTCATATAAAAGTATAAAAAAGTCTCACATTTAACGAATGAAATCCTTTAATTTAATCGTTAGGTACATTATGTCAAATAAATAATATCACTGTTACAATATCTCTTACTTCGTAAAGTTACTTGTGTAGTTCAATAGAGTGCTAACCGAAAATAAACCGTATTCCTAAGTTTTAGATTTGATATTTGCACTGGGCCAAATCAAGAGAGCTTCTAAGTCAGGGAATAAAGTTTATTTTCGCTTAGCAAAACAAAAAAAAAATAAGAGGCAACCAGTCTTAACTCGTCGAGTACCGGTTTACTAGACACAATTAAAGAACAATAGGTCGCGGTCACCGGTGACCGCTTGGTGTTTGACAGTTTAAATTGGTGACAGACGAACATGTAGGTAGTACCTAACCACAGACCTACTATAATATGGACCAGAAATACCTACAAAATACGCGTGCATACCTACTAGAAACCGCGGCCTAAAAATGGCTGCCATTGCTAGGGAAGTACTGTAGTCAAAACCAAAAAGTATCGATATCGATAGCAGAGTTTTATACATTAAAAATCTTCTGGTCCTTTGAATTTTTTTTTAAAGGTACAAATCATCGAATGTCTTCAAGCCACTTCTGACGCAGCACTTCATTTTTAGGGAATTTGTGGAAATAAAAAAAAACATAAAAATTATTTCAGTTTTGTACATTTAGTGGTACAAATCATAGACTGAACTAAATGAAAGTACCTACTGTATGAAGAATTGATATTATTATGTTATGGTACTATCCCTATTTTTATTTCTATTCTGTAAGATTTATTTTCAAAATGGTCTCTTCAGACCCTTTATTTTGATACTCTACTCTACTGGACTCCATAACATACAAACTAAAAATATGTTAGTTTCTTATCGATATGTTATTAAATAAAATACATCACTATTTGTAAATCGTCATTTGTATTGTAAACAAAACTTAAACAAATTTAGCAAATGAAGTTAGTTATCATAAACAAATTTAATGTACATTTAGGGGCTTTTATTCTATATATAAAACAAGGCTAGATAAACAAGAAAACTAATAGTATGATAAAGTTTTTTCTTAAAATACGGCTACTAACCTGTGCATAGTCAAATGAGGTTGATTGGGGTATTTCCTTGCCCCACACTGAATTATTGAACAAGTAGACATATTAAATATGCACCACTAGACACTCACAGCACAAAACAAATAAGTTGGGAGCGTTTTTATTGTTAAAAATCGCAATCCAAATCTAATGTTTTTGTTTGCTTGACACCTGATGTACTACAAAACTATGCGGCCTAAAGATGGCGGCTGGCACGCGAGGTAGGTACCTTGTCAGAAATGTAGAAATGTTGCCAGGCAGAGAATAAACAAACAACATGACGTCTCTTTCTTCAAATGAGGAAACTCATTGATTAAAAAGAGACAAAGTGTGGTTTCATATTTCTATATCGATTTGATATATATTTGTATAAGCAAATAAGCTATAGATCATTACTTCTGGTCCATATTATAGTAGGTCTGTGTACCTAACTGATTTTTTTCTATACTCCGTCTGTTTAGGTAGTTAACTATTTGTAAACAAACCATAAAAAGAGTTCTTTATAGTTGACATTTCCATGATTCAAAATACTTCATAAGAAAATAAAATTGTTTCCCTTTTTACGACAGTTTTCTCTATTAAATGTTATGTTTCTGTTCCTTTTCACTTATTTCTTAATAAATATTAAATATATCTGCTTGAGGATATTAATTTAATAACATTTATTCAATAATATAATATTTCATTACAATAGACACCATAAAGAGCCTAAAATCCCAGGTATCCAAAACGTTTCTTTACGAACGAAGCAAAATAATGTTGTCAAATTAAAGAGTACAACGAAGATGTAGCGCGACAATGAAAGTAGCGTGTATTATGTTTAGTCGGTTAATCAGGCGCCATTGGCAGCTCTCTCGTCGTTTGCGCTCACGTTCCTATTTTGTTGAATTTAACTTGTTTCTTTGTTTTGTTTTTGTTATTAAGTTATTTAAGTTTAGGTTAATCATCGTTTGTAATTAATGTGTTCAAATATATTGAAGAATCTTGGCCCAAAGACACATATCCATACAAGAAAGAAATCCGTACATCAGATTTAGAATAGTTTCTATTTAAACATGATAATGAAACAGACCCATAGGCTAGGCTCTTGTACGATTTAGGCATTTGTACTTGTATGTGTGTGTATGACAAATGAACGATTTTAAAGTGAATTTAGTTAAAATTAAAACACGAGAAATATTTGAAGTAATAGTAGGTTAAGTATCTCTGTGTCACGTGGTTTTCTTTGTTTACCTTTAGTTAATTACCTAAACAGATGGACTATAAAAGTTTTATTAATAGTACATATTATGGTCTAGCTCCGGTTAGCCAAATAGTTTGCCACCAACATCCATGACATATTTGTATTGTAACTTCCGTGAGACATAGGTACTAAATAAATTATTATGTTTTCGGCTTACTCACGTAATAATTTGACGAGGAACTCGCCTAGTTTCACCTATAATAGTACCGACCCGCGACAGTAGCAGCGCGACAGTCGCCGCGTCGCGGGTCGCGAAATGCTGCTCATGAATGTGCCTAGCATGGCTTGAAACTAGTCGAGTTCCTCGTCAAATTATTACGTGAGTAAGCCGAAAACATAATAATTTATCCAAGACATACTTGGCCACACAACTTAAGCATTTTCGATAGGCGTTTCCAACATTGGATCAATAATGTTCGACCAACGTTATACAAAATAAGATAATAATTATTATTTATATCACTTTATTTTACGCTGTGACAGCTTTAAGTACCTAACTAAATTAATATTTACCACCACTAAAGTCATAATTTAAAGGAATGAGCTATACCTAGAAATGAAATGAGTTTAGGTAAAAGTCGTCTCTAATTTTAAATAAATTAAGTTTTATTTTTGTTGAAAAGAAATTCTGCATCACCCAAAGGTCTGGCTGAAGGAGAATGCCCATGGTATTAAGCCCACCTTGTATATTAGAGTGTGCATGAAGCCTTTTAAAATAAAATGAAATTCAGAGAGAAATCAGCGTTTCTTTAAACTCTTTTAACTTTTATAGTACCGTACAGTCATCAGCTAAAAAATTACTTAGGTATAGGTTTAAACTTAAAATAGATACCTATATAAGAATATAAGTAATTAGCTATATTTATTCTTATGACAATTATTATGCTTATCATAGTTTCTATCTTTCTTTTTGAGGTGTATAAAACAATGTTTTGGGCACTCACCCCAATTTATGCTAAAATTAAATAAATAAGAATAAGAATACAATCTTTAGATTTTCAAATGCCAACACCAAATTCTATTATTATCTACAAAATACATAATATATAGTACTGGGTTGCATGGTTACATATCACACTGATTATGGTCCCATTATAATAAACATAAAAATAACAAAATAACGAAATATTCACAGATATATTCACAAATGTATGCTTTTAATCCAAAAGAATTGTTTTAGAGAATAGGGTAGATGCTTAATTTTTATTTTAATGTCCGTCTGGTAGATTATTTTAAAACATTAGACACGTAATTTTTATTTTCTTACAGAAACGAATACTTTTGAAGATATATTGATTTGAAATGTCGCGTGACGTCACTTCTATGTACATACATTTTATACGTAGACATGACGTTTTAGCCCCCACTCCTAAACTTTGATTCGTTAAGTATTGTTTTATTATACAACAAAATAAAAAAAAATACGTGTCTAATATTTTTTCATTACCTAACTGGCGGACTAATTACTTTTTTTAATTTTCATACCCTGTCATCATCCCAATTATTGTTGTATTGAACAGAAGAGTTAAAAATAATAAGATTTTGATTTGATAAGACAAACATGAATTTACTGTTAAAATTAATTTTTTTAAGGTTATTTTATGATTAACAAAAATCAAAATGATGTACTTAATTTAAAATTGTTTCCTGTTCATTACCTTTATTTTTTGGTTTTAAATTTTTCTGCCAGGCTAACGGGTGGATAATTCACCAAAAGCCTTGTTTGCACTGCGCTAGTATTTTAGTCAAGTAGCGAATCTTTAGTAGCCTTCTCTCGCTTCTGTCCTAAAATCGAAGCGAAAAAGAGCTCCTAAAAACTCGCTACGCGACTTAAATACTAGCGCAGTGTGAACAAGGCTTTAGGTATGCATCGGGTAAGCTAACAAAATTGATGTAAGCTCACAGAAAAAACACAACCAAATAACCCTTTTGGAAGTTTTACGTCCAGTTTCTATAACCTATCTATCTGTCGATTTGCTTACTAGAGATAGAATTTTGACACATTTTGTATGGAGCTCATTTCAAAATTCTATCTCTAGTAAGCAAATCTAAGGTTATAGAAACTGGACGTTAGAAGAAATATATACATTATAAACATAATTTAAACTAACTATAACTTAAATTAAAGGGCAAGAGAAATGAGTACTACACTGCCATGTTATATCTAAGTGTTATAGAAATATCAGTCAAAAATGTATCTGTAAACAGTATCTTTGGCTGGATACATAACTACGTATACCTATGTATCTATGTTTAGTGTTTTGTGACAAAATTGTGAGAATGGAATGAAAATGTTCACATAAGTAAAGTTTTATTATATTTTTGGTCAAAGGAATACTTGATTTTTTATTACAACGAAATCAGAGAACTCTAATGATATAAAAAAAGTTTGAAAAAACTGGTATTTCTCTTCAAAACGCCCTCGCAGTTTTGTATCATTTATTGAATAATAATTATTTACAGTTGAAAGTTTAATGAAAGTGATTTATACATCAAATTCGAGACAAATACCCAATATAAAATTACAATTTAACTACTAATTACAATAAATTACAATATCCCATTCAATTCGCTGGACATGATTAATTAAGCATCAGTAACTACAAAATAAAATGGTATAAAATACCTACAACTTCATAATTTAAATCTTAAATTATCACAAGAAATCGAAAAGTAATTTTTGTACTAACAGAAATGTGTAATGCTTATATCACAATTTATGATCGAGCTCATACAAAGACTATGTGAATAGAAGTATCATGTAGCGAATCGCCACCTGAGGCCAATGTAACATAGAGATCGGAAAACAAACATGATTCCGAACATAGTGAGGATCTCATACCAGACAGAACTATTTTCAATATCTAAGTACTTGATAAGAACCTCAGGTTTGGCAAAATGGCAGTACATGTCTTCGCAATCTAAAGGCTGACGGTCGAAACCGAAAATGGTAAGGACCATGGCCACAATACCGCATCTGATGAAGGAAGTCTTCATGAGGATGTTCATCATCAGAGGGATCTCGTGGGCAAAGTCGAAGCCATAGATGGCGAGGCCAAGGAATGGAGCGATCGCTGAAGGCCCGATGGCACAGCCATTCTGGAAAAATATAAGACAGTTGTCAGTAAAACCGTAAATAATTTAAGATACTTTCTTACTGCTGCTGTTGCATGGTCTAATTTAGAAACAATCAATCGTTTATGGAAAGCTAATGAAAAAATATCCATCACAGAAGCTCTTGACTCTTGATCAGCCGAGCTTTAGCCAAGACAGTCGTCTCAATTGGTTAGACCCCTTCTAAAAACGGCATTAAACTGTCAAACACCAAGTGGTCACCGGTGACCGCACCCTATTGTTCTTTAATTGTGTCTATAAATACGGTACTCGACGAGTTAATATCGATCGGGTCTCATAACCGAAATAACTGAAGACCTGATTTAGGTACAAGGCAGAAAACTCACCGTAACGTTGAAGACGGATCCAATAGCCATGCCAAAGCCTTCAGCAGCCAAGGACACAACGTTCCCCACGAGACAGAACGCCACGAACCGCGTTACAGTAAATGGAACTCCGGCCATGAAGTACACGATCGTTGAGAATATTATGTTGAATGTTATTTGTACTGGAAGCTTCGAGACTGTGAGAGCAGCGTAGTAAGGGTTCAGGCTGTACCAGCAGTTGAAATGTTCTTTTTTCACTAGCTTCACTTCTTGAGGATCTGAAAGTGATAAGACATTATTAGTTTTGGGTTTCCAAAATCTTAGCTTACACAGACTCCTTATCAGAGACACTTATCGGGTCTGGCAAATTATTACCAGACTGAGAACTAGATTTTCAAATTCTGATACTCAGAATCTGGAATTATGCCAATGATGGATAAATACAAAGCATGAGGGCTTCATTGAAACAAGACTCTCAAGCTTAAGAAAAAGCAACTAGTAAATCACAAAGTAGTTTCTAGTACATATTAAAGAAATACTTACATACAAGTACTGGAACCATGATTTGGGTATACGCAAAGAATATGACGAGTCCAACACAGAGCTTGAGGTGGTTGAACATCTGCGTACCATCATTGGCCATATTGAAGAAACAAGTGCCCACTAACAAGCCACACATCACGTGGTGAACGAACTGGATACTGAGACCTGGAATGAGAGATGAAAAGTTTAATACGAATGGCAATGCACTTGATAATGAAGATTTTATAGAATATTTAAGAATGGAAGTAGAATAATATAATAAAGGTTCTAAAAAATTTACTAAGTAGGAGAAATGGCTGAATGGAGATGAAAATACTAATATGAAGATTAAACATTATTCTTAATGTGGAATCTCCTATAAACATTTTCTCTAACACTGCTTCTGTTACTAGAGGTAATATTCAAGCAAACACACAATAATAATGTAAGAGGTTAATAACAAGAAGGGTCTATGGTAAAAAAATCTTCAAAATCTTATCCATACCTTGTTTATTCCTAAATATTTGCGTCAACATCCTCTTCAGTAATATACAGAACTGTTCACAGTAGGTCGTGGAGAATTCCATTGTGTCTGACTTCTGCATCTTCATCCACGCCATCGAGGAGTTTCCATTAGAAAGCTGACTGGACGACGAACTTACAGAGGCACTTGAACCATCGTATTTCGTTACTTTATAAGTGCATTTTTCATTTGATAGGATTATCTCAGTTTCGTTCGCGTCATCAGTCTGGTAGCTGATTTTAAGCTGCATTTGATTCGCGTTCGGTTCGATCGCTGGTTGATCTAACTTCGCTGATTTGAACAGTTTTCCATTCATTATCTCTTTGGATAGTAGGGTTATATATTCAGGTGTTTCTGTTAGTTCTATAACTGGAAAAATAACAATAGGACAAATTAGTTAAAGGTAACACCAGTTTTGAGACCGCAAATTGAGAAACCACATACATAACACTAAGCCTTTTGTCCTCGAAGCGGTAGAAAGAGGTGCACATTATACCACTGTACAATGTAATACCCACTTTTCACTATTTATGTTATGAGTCCCATGTAATAGGTAGGGGGTGAGCCTATAGCCATATACCGCGCACAGTTCCAGACTCCGTGCTACTACTGAATTTTTTTTTTAAACCCAGTAATACTTTGCCCGACCCGGGAATCGGTCGCAATTGCGACCACTCGACCAACGAGGCACTGAGAAACCAATCAAATTTATTGATTATTTATATAGTCACAGTGATTTAACTGTCTTTATAAAATAGATAGTCGCATCTATTCATACAACTAGCGGAGCAATGAATAATGCAATAATTTAAGTAGTAAGTACCTACACCCTATAGTTATGGATAATAAGATGGCAAGATCTGGATAGTTTAAACTCAAATTCGGCAAAGTTAACAAACCAAGTACAATTGAATATACGAATATTGAAGTCTAGATAGTAACAGCTGAATCAAAATAGTACCTAACTGACCACGCAAACTAAGAAGCACAATACTACAATGGCTTGTTTAAAATTCCTGTAACACTTTACGTAATTAAGCAGTTATTTGAATTACAAATGTGTTGGGCTTTGTTGTGCTTGCAGTATTCGCTCTTTTCCCTTGCAGATTACTTAAGTAGTTACCTAGTTCACAGTTGCTTTTACTAGGTGGACTATTGAACTGTTGGATGTTGATGCAACATAATATTATTGTTACTAAAATATTTACGTTTTCGTCTTTATTAAAATTTCACATCGTAGAGTAGCAGGAAAAGTCATTGTATGATTTACTCCCTTCAAAAAAATAATAATAATAATGATAGAAAAAGAAAGGGTAGCAATTTTGTGGTACGATTTTATGTCTACAGGTAGGACTTAAGAGCCTACAGAGTATAGGTACCTTTTTCCTTTGACCACGCGGAACGAGACCACGAGCGGAAGGCTACCTATTTATTAGGCTTTAATACCATAATAGCATGTCAACATTATTTTAATTGCAAATGATTTTAAAGGCAAACCTTATATTACTTGCAAGTGATTGTGAACCTTAGGTAATCAATGTATCTACTTCTAGCCTTTTAAGTTCTACCTATCTCGGTAAAGAACATTCCTATTGTTTTCCAGTCATCGGACAGTAACTTATTGTATTGTTAATTACAACCTAGAATAGGCACGATGATTAATGTGTTTAATTGCATCAGCATCGTCCAATGAGTTTTACTCATTTCTCTCCTGTAGGTAGTATGAAGGTAGATAGATGGAATTGGCCAAATTATTTTGTATGCAGGACAGTTACCATTGGTTGGCTTGAACTGGAACCAACCATGAATTCATTTGTTACAAACGCTTTGGCTTGGTCCCCGAGCGGTCACCGGTGACTGTTCTCCACTCACTCCAGTATCAACCTTATTTCCGATATTTAGAGACTTCTTTGTATGAATAAATTTTGCCAATTTTTTCCTAAGAACTTAAGAAGATCATATTTTTTTAATAGCTACTGTTTTTATTTTTGCCTACTCAACCCTCTGGAGCTATCACTCCTGGAATCTCAGTATCCCACTAGGTACAGCTACAGAAGATTTTTTTTAAGGGGGGAAAATCATCGAATGACTTCTCCCGCCTGGGTGAGGCGGAAGGGAGTGTCAGACTTTTACTGACTAAAAACCACCGCGTTCCTTCTCTTGCACGTCGAGCCGGAGCCCCGGTAACCCGTTAGGTTCTCCGCGACAGCTACAGAAGATACGAGGATATTCCTAATGGGCAATTTAAACATATCAAATATACGATGGTTCACCCGAGAACAAGACGCAAGCAAAGAAACTATTTGTAATTATTATTATCATCTATGCTATGTAGAATTAAATGGCTAATTGTCACATAACAACATAATATCGATTACCAGAACAAGTAGAGTTAATTTAATATTAATTGCGGTGGTATTTACTTCTGCCCTTATTAATGTAGCTAACTAAATGTCATCATAGACAGATACCTAAATACACGTACTTAACAATCAAGACTATATGCAATGTGATATTGTAGATAAGCTTTGATTAGTGGTTTTTCCTAAAATCATCATCAAAATAATGTACGTAAGACAGCGGCGTAACTACAGGGTGGCAAGTTAGTAAAATGCCACGGGTTTCGAGCCGAGAGTGGCTTTAGTTCAGAGATTCACATCTAAACTTATTCTTCTTTAAATTGGGAAGAAGTGCTTATGCAGTTAATTTGCCACGGGCCCGAGCGGTGTATTAACGCAGTGGCGCCGCTTGAAGATCATAAATATAAAAATGTAATACATACAAAACAGCCCACCTCTTTTCATGACTAATCCTAAACAAATCATAGCAATAACCTACCTCAAGAGTACTGTTATATTATAATTAAGTCCACCTATTTACTCGTTCGAATGCAACAATTTGATAGGTAAATAAGTAAAAATACTTACTAAAGTCAGCAGGGTTATGATGTCTCGGACAGGGCAACCCACATGTTTGTAGAAAAGGCACCATAGCAGCTGTGTCGCCCTGGTATATGCAGTATCCATCAGCGATTACATATACCTGGAAACATACACATTGACGTCAACTTCGAAAGTTAAAAAACAAACAAAAGATTACAAGTCACTAGGAGCGTAAGAATTGACGTCAGAATGAAGGAAAGTGCATAGGTACATAGGTATTGATGTCACTTATAAATGAGTTGTTAATTCCAGAATAGACTTGAATGCGAACAATGAAGGTAGGAGTCTGATCCTAGTGAAAATATCTGTTGTGCTCCTAATAATTGACTTCAATTTGTGGAATCGTTTGACATGAAAACGGATTAGGATATTTTAGATAGTACAAAATATGGCCGTAATTAAAAGATAATATAAAATAAGTCCCGATTCAAAATTAGGGTTAAACATTAATAATTAAAATTTTAGACATATTTTATACTATTTAGGTACAATTTGTAAGTACAAATCGGGAATCGTGTTCCTTGAAATTGTTACAAAGAGCACTAGTAATTGAAAAGTGACTACCTAATTAGTTTCAGATTCTACTTTCTACTATTGTAGACAGACTAATTAATCTTATTTTGATTATTACTTCACAGCTGTAACCTCAGTGAACACGTGGAATAAAAACAAAAATAGACCACAACATTGTATTGATTTGTTTTTCTTCCAAGTACAAATTGACGTCAACTTTCGGCATGTCGCGTGATAGTATCGGACTTGTACCTTTTTACTTAATTTATTTGAGTGCTATATATAACCATTTAGCCAAGTAAGTATCTAGTAGGATAGCCCTGTTTGATGTACTTTTATTTAATTCTAATAAAACCTTATAGTTTAACTGTAGTTTCTAAGTTAATGATATAAATAACTTCTATGCTCCGTAAAGATATAGGAAATCTTAATTACATTTTAAATTATACAAAATCTAAACCAATCTGCTATAGATTCAGTGACTAAAACACAGTTGGGAAATTATTTATTAGAGTTATCTACTGTGCTTTACACTCTGTAATGTCGAGTAAAATAATATCCAGCAAAGCTCGACTTGCTGTAATGCAGTGTGTATTGACACCAACGCTTATGTATGGTAGTGAATCATGGGTGTGGCAGAAGAAGCATGAAAGCAGGATTAATGCGGTGGAAATGAGAGCCCTGAGAAGTATGTGTGGACTAAAATTGAGTGATCGAGTGAAAAATAGTGTTATTAGAGAGAGGTGTGGATTGAAAGACAATGTAGTGACAAGGATTGAAAAGGGAATGTTACGCTGGTTTGGACATGTAGAAAGGATGGATGAAAGTAGAGTAACGAAAGAAGTATACAGAGCGGATATGAATGGAGCCGTCGGTAGAGGGCGCCCTAGACGGACATATAGTGACCAGATTGGCGATATATTGAAGAAGGGCCAAATTAAAAGTACCCTTAACCGACGAGCATGCATGAAAAGATTGATGACTGTTAATGAAGCGAAAGAGGTATGTAAGAATCGTAGTAATTGGCGTTCCTTAGTCTCTGCCTACCCCCATGGGAGACAGGCGTGAAGTTATGTATGTATGTATGTAGTTATCTACATAATAATAATTATGTTTATGGGATAAGCCGGTAAATGAGCAGACGTTGGTAAGCAATCGTCGTCGCCCATGGACACCTGGAACATCAGAGGCGTTACAAGTGCGTTACCGGTCTTTTAGGGATTAGGAGTTTGGGGATTGTTGGGGATTCCGGGATTGGGGAAATTGGGGAAGAGGGGTAATTGAGCCTCCGGTAACCGCACTCACACGATGAAACACAACGCAATCACGTCGGTTGCTTCACGTCGATTTTCTGTAAGACCGTGGTATCACTCCGGTCGAACCGGCCTATTCGTGCCGCCGAAGCATGGCTCTCCCACGCTTATTATTTACATATGCTTACAATAATTTGGAGATAACTGCAAATGAGAAGATACTGCGACCTCTTTATGTAAGGTGAAAGGTGGCATTTTTCTTTTATAAAAGTATGGAGCGATTAATTTATCAGTGTGTCCAATTAGTATTTATTACTTTCACATTAATTATCATGTTACCTACATTTTTATTACTACAGATATATGGTATCTAGCGTCCATTGATTTAACAGTGGATGTACTGAAACCAAAACAATTGCGTATCTAAACAACGAATGATAACTATTATAATAACAATAATTAAAATGATTATGCAAATAATAACAATGCAATGTTAATAGAATTTTAAGAAATTGTACGCAACCGCTCGGCATTGTCACGAATGTCACAAGGCTTGCGGCTTCTATCCAAATGATACTATGAAATCTCTACATTTATTTTAATTACAGATTGTCTTAATTCGTGTCGTAGGGTTCTGGGCTCTGGTAGAAAGCAAGCAAGCTCTGGAGAAGGAACGGGGTGGTTTTAGTCAGTAAGAGTCTGACACTGCCTCTCGCGTCACCCAAGGCGGGAAAAACCAGGTGATGCTGTCCAATGTCCAAGCTGTGGACAGGCCCATTACCATAAGTGGGACGATTATCACGATTAACCTATGTATATTATGTAGAAATATAACCAGCAGTGATACTGGGTAACTATGCAATATTTTAGACAGACTAACCAACTGATATTATATGACAAAAATGAGGGATAGACCAAACCATGCATTGTATCGACCGCTGTGGCGGTGCTTAGTCCAAAAATCAAAGCGATATATTGAATCTTCTATTCATAAAAAACTTAAATTTAACAATTGTGATTGAAATTGATGTCTTTTTTTTTTTGATAAGCGAACTTTGTTTCTTTTTTGTTGTAATATCCTGTTCTTTTATAATGCATGTCGTGGCAGCCTGTAAGTAAGGCTACACTATAGAGTGTTAAAATATTATGTAAAAAAAACCTATCATGTATTTTGGTGTATGCTTTGTATAGGATAACCAATCCTTAAATAAATAAATAAATAAATAAATAAATAAATAAATAAATAAATAAATAAATAAATAAATAAATAAATAAATAAATAAATAAATAAATAAATAAATAAATAAATAAATAAATAAATAAATAAATAAATAAATAAATAAATAAATCATAAGAAAGTGAAAACTGTACATTGTTTTTTTTTAAAAAGAATGATTGGGTAGTAATCTACAATCGTTATTGAAGCCAAATGTATGCTTTTAGATTTTTTATCTGTTTGTCTGTATGTATGTATGTCCGGACTAAACTCAAAAAATACTGCATAGATTTACTTCAAATTATGCATGAATATTACTCACAGGTCGGGTCAACATATAGGCTACATTTTAATTTTTACGAAACGTGTTCTTTTTAATGTTTAATTTTGTTTTAACCAATGTTTTTAAAGCACTAATAAAAGTCTTTAATTTTATGTTCCTTTAAGATAGAGCGTTGATTTCGTTAGTAGTACTTAGTTTTTTTTTCAGTTAGTATTTATTGTCCTTGTTCGTTTGTATAGTTTTTATTTATCACTTAATTGTAAAGTTGGTTAACCTATAATTGGCGACTGTATAAGCCCAATACCTACTGTTACCTTTATTATCTCTTAATACTATGTATTCAGAATCTGTTGGTATACCTATTTAAATAAATCAATAAAAACTATGAATCACTATTCCACACGAACGAAGTCGCGGGCACAGTTAGTTCTTAATAAAATAATTCATATAAATCGTTAAACAAAAGTCCTTTAGATTAGACATACATAGTGCTCTTATTAAAATATTCCTCTAGCACTTATTAATAACACTTAGTACCTAAGTATGATTCCTAGTAACAATAACATTATGTGCATAGAAACTATATTGCATTAGTTATATTGCGTTAAGTCACGATTGGAGGTGTGGACGCATCCATAACTTTAATTATAATTCTTAGTTATGATTGGGATTATAAGTTAATAATATACTACTTTGTTCTTGTATTTCATCATTCTTATGATTGACTGCTTTGTTCTTCGAGTTCTTAACCATAATCTCTTTACGTTACTTATACTGATTTTTTTGATATTATGTTGAAGTTGACACTAAACTTATTATACTTAGATACAATTTTATTTCATTTTGCGGCAATGTAAATAAGATAGATGACTGATTTTTATTTTAATGTGTTTTGTAGATTACTTTATTTAAAACATTACAAGCGTGTACTTTTTAGTTTCTTATCAATATAAATAATTTCACGATATATTGATTTGAAATATATCGTGAAATAACAAAAAAGTGACCTTCTAGGTACGTTTTAAGTGAAGAAATGACGTTTTAGCTCCCACTCCCAAACTTTGATTCGTTTTACATAAGTATTGGTTTATTATACGGAGAAATAAAAAAATATGTTTCTAATATATATTCATTGCCTAACTGACGACGGACTAAATAGTATTTTAATTTTCATACCCTGTCATCATTCCAGTTGAACGCTATTTACACATGTTAACTTTACTTTTTTTAAACATTCCATAAATTGGAAACCTAAATGAATGACTACAACTATTCTATATTCAAGGGCATGTACAACAGAAGGGTCCTTGACATACAGACACAATAACATCGAGGTTCAAAAAACATGTAAAAACTTAGCATAATCCATAAATAACATGATTTTAAAACATTGGTTGCGATTATTGCTAAACATATTAGTCAGTACCTACAACAACAGCCTATAAATGCCCACTGCTGAGCAAAGCCTCTTCTCACACGGAGAAGGTTAGAGCATTAATCACCACGCTTGCTCAATGCGGGTTGGCGATTTCAAACTTATAATTAGAAATTATAAGTCCAGGTTTCCTCACGATGTTTTTCCTTCGCCGTTCGTTTGTCAGTGGTGTCTAAATAATCTTAGAAAGTACATATAACTCGGAAAAAGTCATATTGGTACTTGCCGTTGGTAGGTTTCGAACTCGCACCCTCATGCATGAGAAGTGGGCGTCTTAAACCTCCGGGCCACCACGACATCATCAGTACCTACATTATACCTATATTCTCAGAGTAGTCAGTTTTGAAATGTCGGCCTCATCGTTCGCTTAATTTGACGTGTAAAAATGCTACCTTGTAGCCTATTTGCAGATATAAAATTACCGACTTGTTTTTTGGTTTCACTATTTCAAAACTCATTAAAATTCATGTTCGAAGATAAAAAAAACATTAAAAAATTTTTGAAAATGTCGTTTTTTTTTGTAAATCAGGTCATCGTAATGTTATAGGTAACGACTTATATTCGAAACCCAGCAGTTTACGTGTAGGTATAGTGGTTTAAACCAGTTAATTAGGTAGGTATTACTTAACTTTTTAAGTTAGTTAAAAAAGCTATATTACAATACCAGTTCATATTTGCTACTAATAATACCCTACCTAGATCATCCATATAACAAAAAAAAAATCAATCAAAACATGAAAAATGCCTGTAAAAAATGGTTCAAGTTATATTTATATCCTATTACAGTTTTTGTTGTATCTACAAATAGACCAATGATTGTATGTACCTACCTACCGGTAATTATATATTTTTTATACGCATTAAATTAATTAGTGTCAGAAAAAAATAGACATTATTTTAATATCATGTGTCTAATCTTAAATCTCGTTTAGGAATTCCATTTTTGAATATTCATTATCGATCTAATGTTTTTTTTTGGTTTTTGTGTCTTAATATCAACTTGGTAACATTAATAGGGTTGTCTTTAAACTGTCAAATACAGTTTTATTCTAGTAGGTAGTTAACACTTGCGACAAGATGTTGATTCAACGCTATTTTGAAACTCACAATTTTAACTCTGATTAAGATTGATCTCCTATTAAATTGAGATGTCCTATTAATTGACCATTTCTAATATAGTAACATTTATGTATTTAGAAAAATAAAAAATAATAAGCAGAATAGACTACAGGCTGTATTCGTGAATTCGATTTACAAAAAATCGAATTCAAACACAATTTAAATCAATGTGGAAATGCTGCCAGTCGTCATGGAATGTTCCCCGGTCGGTGATAGTACCTAATGCGGACGAGTGCTTTGAAGCCTAAATTATGGTATGGGTATTTTTTGTTACTTTTTATTCAATGGTTGAGTTGTAGTTAATTTTAAGTTATATATATTTATGTAGTTACATCTCATTTATTTAAATCTATAACCCATAATCACTTACGTTTACTATCTGGTTGTTATACAAATTGAAGTACCAATGCAACAATAAAAATAAAAGAACCTACAAAAACTCATGAATAGGAAATCCGTTGCGTGTATTCATTTAGCCTAAGATCATACTATAATGAACTGACAGTGACAGATACCGCTTCTTTGTATAAATAAATTCAATTCAAAGCAAAAAAAGTATAACTCGTTAGGTATAGCCTGCCTCGTAGGTAGATATGGATGTGAACCCATGGATCTCAAGTCGGGTGGAGTATTATTGAGTCTTTAATCGACTGTAGGAAGGATATTATATTTCGGTATTAGGAAAAAATAAAAAAAAATGATAAAAAGTAAAATGAGAAGCGATGAGTACACCTTCTTGGATATTACATTCAGAACATAACTTAATGCGAAAATTATGTGTTAAAAAGGTATAATTCAATAAAATAAGAAAAACATACCTACAATGAAAACCTATATAAAAACTTTACGTAAATTCGTATTATTTTTCAAGTTTCACATGACTCAAAACATGTTGAGCTTGATCATAAAATCCTTATTTAATTTTAAAAATAAAATGAATGTCATTTACATTTATTTAATTAAATTAAAACGTGACTTCAAATGGAATAATAATTTTGATAGTAAGGGAATTTTTCAAAATCTTTAACTAATAGCCAAGCTAAGATATCAAACGATACTGCTAAATAAACTTGTGCTAAATCATGAACAATCTATAAATGCCTACTGCTGAATAAAGCCTCTTCTTACATGGAGAAGGTTTGGGCATTAATCATCACGCTTGCTCAATGCGGGTTGGCGATGTAATCGCTAAAACTTATAATTAGAAATTATAAGCCCAGGTTTCCTCACGATGGTTTCCTTCACCGTTTGTCAGTGGTGTCTAGATAATCTTAGAAAGTAGGTATATGGCAATAGGCTCCCCCTATTACATGGGACTCATAACATAAATAGTGAAAAGTGGGTGTTACATTGTACAGTGGCATCAAATGCCGTAATGTGCACCTTTGCCTACCCCTTCGGGGATAAAAGGCGTGGGGAGCGGTCCAGTTATACCGTGTATACTTCGATATTCGCTCACCTGGTCAAACATCTCCAAGAGCGATGCAGGAGGCTGATGTATGGTGCACACCACAGTCCTGCCTTGTCTCGCCAATGACTTCAGAACCTTCACGCACTGGGTGGTCGTGACTGTATCCAGTCCACTGGTAGGCTCATCCAGGAAGAATATTGGTGGATTGTTCACTAACTCGAGCGCTATTGATAACCTGAAGAAGAATAGGAATAAATTGAGATATTATATGGGGAGTTGGTATTTTGGAAATTAAACTAAAACTATATCACTTAATGGTCAGGAATCGGCGTCGCCCATAGGCACCTGGAACACCAACGGCGTTACAAGTGCATTATGCGCCTTTTGGGGCCTTAAGGATTTAAGGATTTGGAAGATTGAGGGGGAGGGGGGGGGGGGTAATTGGGCCTCCGCTAACCTTACGCATACGAAGAAACACAACGTAAGCGTTATTTCACGTGGGTTATCTGTGAGGCCGTGGTATCACTCCAGTCGAACAAGTCCACTTGTGCCGAAGCATGGCTGTCCCACACACCCACACTTAAAGAGAGATCAATCTCCATTTTTAACGAATAAGTCCATAAAAGTAATGGCAAAAATTAACCGCAGTTCGAACGATTTTGAATTTAATTCGATTGTAAACAAAAAGCTTGTAACATCGCAGTTAATCCCTAAGATTTTCCTTGAGAATTTCAACACAAGCATTCTTGTAATTTTATTTTAAAAGTGTATTGTTGTACATCCCAAAGCTACAAGGCTACCGGAATTAAGAACCCTCTATATGAGTTTGTTTCATCATTCTCTCTGTTTCTATGCAATCCATATTTTACATTGTGCTAAAGAAACCACAATGATTCATGGTAATTGTAAGTATAAATTATTACGTGGCGATGTATCTATAATTGTAGACTACCTACTGAGCTTAGTAGGTTCTCAAGCTATAATTATTACACTGAGAGCGTATCTACTTACAAATGGCATTTTGTAAGAATACATACATTTTATTCCTTTGAGGAAAAACGAAACCTCTTAAGGGAAACAATAAAGTTCTGTTTCAAAAGAATTACCTAAGGATAAAGATGAGGAAAGGGTACAAAATGTCATTGATCAACTGCTACTTTTACTTACAGTTTGGGTTATTGACCTTTAGGTCACGCGATGCACAATAAAAAGAATAGGAAGTAAAGCGAGGAAAATGTATTGTTACCTTATAAAAGAATCAATGAATAAGCGTTAATAAAGTATTCTTTTCCTCGACTAAATTAAGAATTAAATGTTAAAGAATCTAAAAACCTTTTTCCAAAATGGGCTACATCTGTATTAATTAGTTATGTATTCAAAAATCCAGTTAGATAGCCTGATTATCATTAAACTAAAACATGATATTTCAATAGTAGATTTCGAATTGCGACGACGCGCGACCTATCATGAAGAAACAAACGTGGTCGACGTGTGATACCTACTCATATATCCTTACAATGCATGTGCGAATAAGTTAAACAAAGCATAATATTCTACAGTTTTTCTAGAACTCTGTGGCCACCGTAATGTATTGTGGGAATTTTCTTATCACAATATTAAGAAATAATACTCCCAAGAACAGTTTCGATTTGCCGTGTAATATTGTCAAGGCTACAACTAATCGATTTCTTGCGAACGTTTACCTAATACGAAAAGGTAGTAGGTAGTAAGTTACTCTTTACACCAGAATAAAGAAATAATGAATTTTGTAAGGGGAAATAATAAATTTAGTGAGGAGTTTAGAATAGCTAAAAATGCTATACGATTTGTAGTCAATTAGGTGCTGTGCCCATGACATGAAGTTTACAAATATGAAAACCCTTTTTTGAAATTCACGAGTAAAATTCACGTGAGAGACTCCCACGTTGGCCGAGTGGTCGCAAGCGCGACCGGCGGGCGAGGGGTCTTGGGTTTGATTCTAAAGTATTACAAAGTCAAACATTACTGGTTTAAAAAAAATCTCAGTAGTACCACGGAGTTTGGAATTGTGCCCGGTATATGGCAATAGGCTCACTCCCTATTAGAACTTCCTATTATATTACCCCCCTGTTAAATAGTAAAAGAACCTATCCCTTCGAAGATAATGTTACATAAAATTAAACCAACCTCTTCTTCTGTCCTCCAGATAACCGATCTGTTCTCGTATGCTGGTGTTCCAGCAGGCCCATTTCTTGTAGGATTTCCTCCGAAGGTGATTTGGCTCCCCTAGGTGCCTTCAGCCTCGCTGCAACGTCCATAGCTTCGCGAACTGTCAGCAGCGGCTGGAGCAGGTCCTCCTGGGTGATATAGCACGATGACCTCTGGAAATGCTGCTCGTCTCTTGGCTGCCCATTTACCAGAAGTTCACCTGTTACGCCTGCGGACCTGTGTGTTAGGCATACAAAAATGATAATAAGAAATTGTATTTTTAGCAAAGTAGATTACATTTGTCATTCTTATTCTTCCTGCAGGTCCTTAGAGTCGGAACTAAGATTTTTGAGCAACGGACAACAGCGCTATCTGAGTGCCAAGCACGAATAACTATCGCATTCGTAATGTAAGAGTATAGAGCGCGTTCGACGCTCGGCTTGGTTGGTTTACTGGAGCTGGTACTCTGATAATCCTGAACTAACTGCGATATCGAACCCCCCAGCTAAGCGTGGAGATAATGGTAAACTCCTCTTACTTGGATGAGGGATGATAATTCAACAGTGGACAATCAGAGGTTCTTGTAAATGTATAAGTGTATCTCCACACTGTATCTACAACTAACGACCCGCCCCGGCTTCGCACGGGTGCAATATACATGTACTTATTATATATAAACCTTCCTTAAGAATAAGTCTATGTATTTAAAAAACCACATTATAATCCGGTGCGTAGTTTTGAAGATCTAAACATACCTAGGGACAGACAGACGGCGGGTAGCTTCTTTGTTATATACTATGTAGTGATATTTCTTATCCTCTCATTCTCCGAACCCATGAATGTAGTTGACCCACGTTTCTTAGGTAGGTATTAGTTAAGGCTTGCTAATCAAAATTTAAATCTTTTGACATTTACAAGTAGGAAAATCCAGTAATTCTTCATCTGAACAGGAAATTGTATCTGTGGATTTGTTTCCTGCTCTTTCGCTATCAATAAGAAACCTACTGCAATTTTTAAGGAAAACAATGAAATTGAATTAATTCGAAATAAGTAAGTGGTAATTTTCTTAAACAACTAAGTATACCTATAAACAAAACCAACTTCATTAGCTTCTCTAAAAACATAACTCTAAAAACCGACGTTAACTTAAATAGATAGCTGGAGCTACGAAAATAAAATACAAGTTTTATGGTTTGAAAAACCCAAAAAATCCCTTTTAGAAAATAAACTGTCCAACTTTATCACCAAGTAAAACGAAATAAAGAATAACCTAGGTTGGTTAGGTTGCAGGGATAACTCCACAGAACATACGTTATTCATATTGTGTTCTGTGGATAATACATAACCAGGAAAAGTAAACACAAATGCAGAGACTAACTAGATACATTATATGTAAATTTATGCAAAGAATTATAATATTTATTGCATAGAAATTACTTTGTTATTATAATTAAAGTATAATTTATTAGGTACAAAAGAAAAGTCAAGCTATACACAAACAGGATGACTGGGAATTAGAGTACAATCTGTGTCTAGAGAGAAAGGGTACCTGGAGGCTATGCACGCGGTCCTATTTTTCGAATGAATACTTGTGTCATGGTCGGTCGAAGGTTAAAACGCCCGCTTCTCATACATGAGGGTGCGGCCTCGAAACCTACCAACGGCAAGTACCAATGTGACTTTTTCCGAGTTATATGTACTTTCTAAGTTTATTCAGACACCGCTGACGAACAGTGAGGAAACCTGGGCTTATAATTTCTAATTAGGAGTTTAAAATTCCAACCCGCATTGAGCAATCGTGGTGATTAATGCTCAAACCGTCTCCATGCGAGAAGAGGCTTTGCTCAGCAGTGGGCATTTATAAGCTGTTGATGTGATGACTTAAAAAATTGCTCCGTGTTTTGTTGTATCGCCAATATTTCTGGCAAATGAAACGTATTGGTACCCTGTAGGTACCTATTATTCCAATCATAGATTCAGAATTAAGACTTTGTTGGTTGATAATATTATATCAAGTCTAGACGTACAAAAACCCTAAAATCATAGAACGGACGTCATTGTTTAATGTTAATATTAACACTTAATGTTTACATGTTAATAAAAGTTTATCCAAGTTGGATTTTATTGGTCTTTATTAGGTATACGGATTCTGATTTTATGACCCTTCATAAAGTCATGATAGCTTCGATTGAATGACTCATTTTGGCCAATAAACCACAGTTTCTCGTAATCCCCATATTTAGACGACTTGGGGTTGTCAGTTAGCTCATTTAAATTGCTACCCATTTCTCTATATCCTGTCAGAATTTAAGACCACCCAAACCGGTGATAGTAAAGTAGTAAGTAAATAAATAGTATTAAAATGTTTATAACATAGTCACAGCGTCACTGGTATGCTTTTTTGTGGGGGAAAATTATCCAATGACTTCTCTCGCACGGGTGAGGCGAGACGGAGTGTGGTCTGATACCATGTGGTTTTTAGTCAATAAGAGACACCCTGTTCCTACTCGTGCCCTTCAAGCCGGAGCCCCAGCAAGTATATATTCCTTCAAAAGACAAAGGATATCAAGTCATGTACCATAGTAATAAATTTAATTGGCCAAATCAAATTACTGCTAATGAATCGTAAAACTTTAGTATCTTGAGTGTTAATTATTATTACCCGCTATCCTATTTCGTGGGTTAATGATAGAAATAAAATAAATATAGGTAATAACATAGTAGTTACAATGGATTTTCCAGTTATAGGTACCTAGTAGAAAATAATATTACATCACGTGTTTTACTCCTCGGTTAAATGTTACATCCATTTTCATAAGTTCCATATAATACGAAAAGTCTGCAGTCTACAAGTCTACAATGCATTATACTGGGCTCCTTCGTAATCCCAGATTTCGTATACGTACAACCAAAATTTTACAAAGATTACCCCATGTTTACCTATTAAAACTTCGCTCAATAGCACCTAGTGCTTACCTAATAGAATACAATAGAAAAACTCATTGTACTAAATTTAAAATTTTAAAATATAAAATCTTCTACCTATCGCTTTATGATTAAGTGGTTGTTCATAAAATACCTGTATCCAGATAGAGCGTTGAGCAGTGAGCTCTTGCCGGCACCCGAAGGTCCCATGATGGCCACCAACTGGCCTGAACTGAACCTTCCATCCACGCCTTTGACCACCACCTTCCGTGGTCCTGAAACCAAAGAAAAATACAAATAAATAACGATATTTTTGAACGTATAGTTATTTTCTCCGCATAAAGCTGAAGAGTTTGTTTTTTTGTTTGTTTGTTTGAACGCGCTAATCTCCGAAACTACTGGTCCGATTTGAAAAATTCTTTCTGTGTTGGATAGCCCATTTATCGAGGACGGCTACAGGCTATAAAATATCACGCTACGATTAAAAGACGTGTTGCTCACGTAGATATATGTACTGAGAAAAGCTCTACTAGTTTCGAGTCACAGAGAAACTCTTTACCCACTCTTACTCGTGACGTCACCGAAACTAATAGAACTTTTCTCAGTATATTTACGTACTAAGTCGTAATTTTTAGTTAATTAAATGTAATAATAATCTATACATATATCTATATATCTATACATATATAATTCAAAGGTGATTGACTGACTGACTGACTGACATAGTGATCTATCAACGCACAGCCCAAACCACTGGACGGATTGGGCTAAAATTTGGCATACAGATACATGTTATGACGTAGGCTTCTGCTATGAAAGGATTTTAATAATTTTTACCCCCAAGGGGGTAAAATAGGGGATGAAAGTTTGTATGACACTTTGTCAGTTTTAAACTGATCAGGTTAAAATTTGGCATGCAGATAGATGTTATGATGTAGACATCCGCTATGCAAGGATTTTGATAATTTCTACCCCCTAATGGAATAAAATAGGGGATGAAAATTTGTAAGGGACTTTGTCAGTTTTAAACCGATCGGGTTGAAATTTGGCACGCAGATAGATGTCATAATGTAGGCATCTGTTATGAAAGGATTTTGATAATTTCCACCCCAAGGGGTAGAATAGGGGATAAAAGTTTGTATGAGACTTTGTCAGTTTTGTATCGATCGGGTTGAAATTTGACATGCAGATAGATGGTATGACGTAGGTATCCGCTGTGAACGGATTTTGATAATATCCACCACCAATGGGGTTAAATTGGGAATGAAAGTTTGTATGAAACTTTGTCAGTTTTACACTGATCGGGTTGAATTTTGACATGCATGTAGGTGTTATGATGTAGACATCCGCTATGAAAATATTTTAATCAATATCAGGTAAATGTTTTGATGAAGGCATCCCATAAGATAAAATTTTGATCAATTCTACCCCCAAGAAAACAAAATTGGGGATGAAAGTTTGTAAAGGTAAAAAATTCCAACACACTGTATCTTTTAAATCACTGAATTTATTTGATTGAAATCCATTTCATAGAATAGTTTTAATCACTGAAACCTCACGAGGCGAGCTCTGTAGGGGTTGAAACCTGATTGTTGGGATTGTGTATTTTTTGAAATCACGAAAATAAATTCATTTCACAATAAGTATAACACAAGTACTGAATGAAGTCTGACGACATTTTTTTACTACCGTGGAATGTCCCTTGGTAAAGTCTAATTCAAAAACCTAAATTCTGCACGAAGTCATTCTGCGCGGACGAAGTCGCGGGCAACAGCTAGTTTACTAGATAAGTATTAAAGATGATAGGTACGTAATAGTACTTGAAATTGATTAAGAAATCAACCGCAAGTCTACAATCAATAAATTAGAAATGACACTACAATATTACTATTTTATTATTTTTTGAATTAATAACTACATAATAATAAAGGGATTCACCTGTCAAACAAAACTAAAACAATTAAGTAGGTATATCAATGATTTTAAAATGTAAACATGAATAGATAACAAAAGCAAAACCATTTTATAGTGGATAAGGTACAAACGGTTTCATATCAAGCTATGCAGAACTAGTATAAACTGACCCTTGAATGTGCGAAAAGATCGTAAGATGTGAGATCATGATAAACTGGTTTTGTATTTTTTTTGTTAAGTGGTGATAATCATCGAATGACTGCTCCCACCTGGGTGAGGCGGGAGGGAGTGTCAGACTTACTGACTAAAAACCACCCTGTTCCTTCTCCTGCACGTCAAGCCGGAGCCCCGGTAACCCGTTACGTTCTCCGCGACAAACTGGTTTTGTATATCATCATATGTGACCATAACTAAGGATAATGATACAACCACAAATTTCCTATCTCATTGTAATCCATAATGTGGATATAAATCTTATGATTTATCGCATACGACTGCACCTTAATGCAATCTTTACTTAACATTTTATTGTATGCTAAGTATTCTTGATTGAAAAATCTTATTTTGTTTTATTTACCTACCTATTTGTTTATTCGAATGAGTTTTTTGACATGATCCTAATCCACGTGAGAACTCACGTGCAGCACGGACCTCAATTGTTAATTATTCTCAGTTAATGGAGAGGAAATTGAATATTTTCCTTAGTCAAATTGTTACGACTTACACAAGAAAAATAAACAAACATAATTACACTCAATAATTATTATGGCCATAGGAGGTACTTGCATGTTAATTTTCGTATTTTTCTACTTAATTTTTAACACGTATTACTTACTGAGTAGGTGCCTAAGTCATTATTGTACAAGATAGACGTTTTTTAGTGTTTCTAAATAAATATTGAATTTCTTTAATTTGTTGGATAAAATGCTATTCTAAAACGGTCCCTACAGTTGACGCAACACTATCCTTATCCTTACTAATATTATAAATCGGAAAGTGAGTTTGTTTGTTTGTTTGTTTGTTCCGACTTCACGCCGTAACTACTAAACAGATTGCATTGAATTTTTGCAGACGTAAAGTTAGTAGTCTGGATTAAATAATAGGGTACTTTTTATCGCGAAAAAATTTGATATTTCCGAGGGAAAACAAAAGTATTGGTATAGATGGCGCTGTATGTATTGGTATATGTCACATAGGCTACTTTTTATCCTTTTGTGACGCGAGCGAAGCCGCGGGTAAAAGCTAGTAAAGAATAAAATGAAATAGTGCTCTCACTAAAAGGAAAACCTGTGTTCCTATGACTCATAAACTTTTCCAATAAGTTTTAATTTAAAAAATATATCCGCAAGAATTTTTGCGAGATATTCGTTCAATCAATTTCCTATTAGTCTATTAATCAGCTAGCTGAACACGTGACTTCGTTCACGTGGAATAGTCACTTTGGATAGTTCTGCATAACTCCTCCCCCGTAGGTGATAGCGTGATAATATGTAACCTATATATTGAGCCGGGCTGTAAGTAAGTAAATCCATGCAGTACTTTTTGAGTTTAGCCCGGACATACCTCTATACAGACAAGCGGACAAAAATTCTAAAAACTATATTTTAGCTTCGATATCGATAAGATCTTAAGTTTCCTTTAAAAAAAATAATGTTTTGACTTTCCTACGATTATATTATATGTATAACTAGATTTAGATTGATCTGTTAATCAAATTAGCAGTGATCGAGGTTTTATTCCTAAACAAATGTGTTGTTATCAATTTTAGCTAGAGAAGTTCCTTTTAAATTATATTTTTCAAAATATTTCATTTAGCATGAGATACATAATAATTAAGCTTCATCTAGATAATATAAAGTGGTTTTGCCAGATAGTTAACAGGGTACAATTCTAGACATTTGCATAAAATAACAGTTTAGCTATTTCTTGTTCTAGTCTCAAAATAGTTTCATCTATTAGAATCTACTTATTTAATAGAATATTTCCATTTATTGTTAACTGGGATATTTCTAGGTCAAATCACTTGCGTGTTCATAGGCCTTAATATGTTATATGAAGTAATCGAGTTGAGACCGCATTTGGCGCTCTGATTGGTTGGTTTTTTTGAGCTAGCCAATCAGAGCGTCGAACGCATACTTCGATTACTTTTAACGTAAACAAACTTGTACTAAGCCCTCTGATCGGCCGGCTCCAATGAACCAACCAATCAGAGCGCCCGACGCGGTCCCGTTTCCATTACTTTTACGTCAAACAAACTCGTACTTATGCCTCCTAGTTCTGTTTAGCTATAAGCATGAGGTTCGCGCATGGCATTCAAAGAAACACTGTTACCGGTGACCGCTCTCCTCTAACTGTATTATAGACCATATTTCCGATATTTAGAGACTACTTTTGTATGAACAAATTTAGGGGATGATTTTCGACAGGTTAAAATTAGTAACTAATTCTAGTAGAATGCATGTTGATACTGAAAGCAGTTCAGTGACAAATACCAATAGGTAATATTATAACGGACTAAAACATAATACCTACTATGCAAATTTTAATTCGCATAAATATTACAAATTAGTTTTACAACGTGATTCAATAAAATAATGAATGCATGAACTCGAATCTTTATTCCGGACACACGTGTGTGACTCATAAAAATGCATATCTAGTCTTAAATGAGAAATAAAAGCTCTAAAATTCAAATAGATAATGCAAAAGGAACCGTATTATAGTTTGCTCGCGTTTCCATGGGATAAAAAGTGGCTATGTATTATTCTAGACCGTAATGTAGAGTATGGCCTAGAAGCCCAGGGGTAGCCCTGTTCCAAGTTTCATCCCGATACCATTAGCCGTTTTCGCGTGAAGGAGTCACAAACAGACAAACACACACGCTTTTGCTTTTATAGTATTACTAGCTTTTACCCGCGGCTTCGCTCGCGTCACAAAAGGATAAAAAGTAGCCTATGTGACTATCCATCCGTTCAACTACCTTCAGTTAAAAATCACGTTAATTAGTACCTCCGTTCTGCCGTTTAAGACAGGCAAACAAACAAATAGCTTTTTGCTCGCTTGGAATTCGGTTATATCGCGCTATTTAGATTTTTCCAATAAGTAGGTAATTCATTGACTGGTTTTAAATGACATACAACGCCATCTATACCAGTACATACAGCGCCATCTATACTAATGTTTTTCCGGGATAAAAAGTACCCTATTATTTAATCCAGACTTCTAACTTTACGTCTGCAAAATTTCAAAGCTCTAGTAGTTACGGCGTGAAGGTGGAACAAACAAACAAACAAACTCACTTTCAGATTTATAATATTAGTAAGGATAGTAAGGATGGTAGGATTGTACATGATGCAGAAAG